CTGCAGGCGGTGCAGAAGCAGGAGATAGAGGAACTGTACGCCAGAATGGGGAAGGTCCCTCCCCCCTGTATCGTATCTCCAGCCGCAATGCTCTCCAGCCGCCAACGCCGACTGTCTAAAGGAGGAAACTTCCCGTCGTCTCGCAGAAACAGCCTCCAGAGAGTCGACATTCTGCCTTTAACAGGTTAAACCGAGGTTTATGTTTCCAGATTTGAATCATATCAAAACTTAGTGGGCTGCCTTGCTGTTTGTCTCCTACACGGGCAGCTGCCTTTTAAGGGAGCATCCATACTTGCATAGCAGCTTAGAAGTAATGGATTTGGAACTAACAAGCATAAAATGCATCAAACATGTCTCTAAAATTCTTGAGAAGTATCTTTCATTGTTAGTTCATGCTAACTAATCAAGTTAAAGGGATAGTTCACCCAAAAATGAAAATGTGATGTTTATCTGCTTACCCCCAGGGCATCCAAGATGTAGGTGACTTTGTTTCTTCAGTAGAACACAAATTATGATTTTTAACTCCAGCCTTTGCAGTCTATCAGTCGTATAATGCATGGCAATGGTAACAAAATCTATGAGAGTAAAAAAAACATGCACAGACAAATCCAAATTAAACCCTGCGGCTCGTGACGACACATTGATGTCCTAAGACACGAAACGATCGGTTTGTGCCAGAAACCGAACAGTATTTATATAATTTTTTACCTCTAATACACCACTATGTCCAACTACCTTTGTGCGCGCGCCCGGCTTCCGGTGCGTGAGGTGTGTACGCGCTCTGGCGTAGTTTACGTTAAAGGGTGTGTTGATATCCAGCCGAAGAGCAATCAACCATAACTTCAGGCGAGCAGGCTCAGAAGTTGGGAATACGTGGAAAGTCACCACTCCCGAATGAGTTCGCGTGAGAGAACGTAATCTTTTAGTTTTAAGTCGGTTTGAACAATCCGGATAAGCGCAAGTAAGTACCATTTTGATTAGCCGTCATACCTACAATGACTGTGCACTGTGTAAACAATGAGTGACGTATACGCGCGAGAGATCACTTCCACACACAGTTGGACATAGTGGTGTACTAGAGGTAAAAAATTATATAAATACTGTTCGGTTTCTGGCACAAACCGATCGTTTCGTGTCTTAGGACATCAATGTGTCGTCACGAGCCGCAGGGTTTAATTTGGATTTGTCTGTGCATATTTTTTTTACTCTCATAGATTTTGTTACCATTGCCATGCATTATACGACTGATAGACTGCAACGGTTAAAGTTAAAAATCATCATATGTGTTCTACTGAAGAAACAAAGGCACCTACATCTTGGATGCCCTGGGGGTAAGCAGATAAACATCACATTTTCATTTTTGGGTGAACTATCCCTTTAAGTAATGTTAACTTAATAAGCAATTTTTTAATTAACCGGAAATGGCAAATGACCGAATGAAATGTTTAATATCGTTCTTTACTGCGATTGTTCCACAGGGATCATGAGGAAAAATTCCCTGAGCGGTAACAGTAGCAGCAGTTCCCAGGAAGGTTCACGGCCGACTAAAGGAGTGACTTTCGCCGCTGATTTTACTAGAATGGTACGATACTTCTGTTGATTACAGGCATTACATTCAGCTCAGGGTTTCTAATTGGTTCCTGAAGATGCATTCTTGTAAAACAAGCCCTTGATTTCCATCACCTTTGATGAATAAACATTTTCTGCATTATTTTAATGCCATTTAGTCAAATATGAAAGAAAAACAATTAATTAAAATATATATATAGTAAAATATAAATTTTATATATTAATTAATACAAATATAAAATTAAATATAAGGTACATTTACATTTTAATTTAATAACATTTTAAACTATAAAAAATTATTAAAATATAACAAAAAATATATATATTATTTATTTATTTATTTAGCAGTAATAATGCAACATTCGTTTACCATTGCAAATAGTGCTGATATTTGTGAACATTTGAATGAAATTGAATATAAATCTAGATATTTCTGTCTTTATTGCAGAGGAACCATCATTTCTACCAGACAGAATGTTTACCAAGTAGATTCAGGATTGTTAAAAATGATCAAGGCATATATTTTTTTCCTCGTCTTTCACTAAATGAACACAAGAAAGAGTTCAAAAAACATATTTTCATTCATATGCACCAATATAATAGTTTATTGTAAGATGTTAACTAGGTTAAAATGCTACAAAGAATGAATCGATTGAAATGATTCAAAACCGGCAGTTTTGAACAAATCCACAGAATTGGATCTTTCTGACTTCAACAGCCTTTTTGCTGTTGAAGCTTAAATCAGAGATATTCAAACATATCTGTCTTTAATACTCATGAAACATGGTACTTTCCGTACCCACTGTAAGTGCATTACTGCCACCTATCTCTCAAATGGAGCATTGACACGCTATCTACAATCTCAATTAGAAGTGTCAATGGTCCATTTGAGAGATAGGTGGCGGTAATGCACTAATAAGTCTGCGATCCGCCGTAAAGCAAGAAGAAGAAGAAGACGCGTCCCACGCCGGCTGTTGAGAACACGCTCAGGACAGTTTGGACATTGCGATGAAAATCAGAGGTAAAAAACTATATAAATACTGTTCAGTTTCTTGCACAGACCAATCGTTTTGTGTCTTTACACATCAATGTATCGTCACGAGCCGCAGGGTTTCATTTGGTTTTGTTTGTGTATGTTTTATGACTCTCAAAGCCGTGATTCCATTCACCTCCATTATATGACTGACAGACTGCAACGGTTTGACTTAAAAATCTTTGTTTGTGTTCTACTGAAGAAACAAAGTCACCTACATCTTGGATGCCCTGGGGGTAAGCAGATAAACATCACATTTTCATTTTTGGGTGAACTATCCCTTTAAATCTGATCTATGCATAAATCAGCTCTTGGTAAACTCTTATAATGATTCTCTCTTCTGTTTCCGTATCAGTAAGAATCCTTAGCCTGGTACATTGGCGGGACTACGTACATCAGACTACCTCATCCAGTCATGACTGCTCTTACCACACCAAACTCTGAACAACCAGCCACCGAGAAACAGAGACACGATCCAGTCATATCCTCATAGCCTGAACTGGACAGATTGGGTTTGTTATATATAATGTACAGTTTCCTAAGCATAATATGCTGTGTGAATCCAGCGTTGGTGTCAGAAGGCGCATTTCTAGTGCAAATGCACTAATTAAGTCTGCTTAATTCTGTGAAGAGCCAATGGTTTGGCGGGACTCTGCTGTTTTATGATGCTGTGACGTTCTCTCTAAAGGCTCAGCACTGAGTTTGACTCTCGACTGTCTCTTTGCACTTTCTAAAAACCGCCTGGACCTGCTGAACGGGCAAACATCTGAATCAACAGTCCACTACTGGACATCAGATGTCCTGCTGTTTCTGTTCTACTGCCTGTGTTTGCGCTGTAGAAACTCCAAATCATCACGCAATAATCAGCATGAACTCTGTAGATCCGGTCCAGAAATATTTCTGCTATTATCTGATAGGGTCTCTTTTATATTCTAAATGTGAATAAAAACAATGATATAAAAAAAAAAAAGATTTAGGGTGGGTGGGATATATATAATTGTTGCATTGATTATGCCAGCTTTGAGATTTTCATCCATGGAGATGTAGAACTTCTTAACCTTGAAGTCTATGTTTATATACATTTACATACATATATATATATTTTATTGTCTTTTATCAGTCTGAATGTGACTGACCTAATATGGTGATGTTAAAGGAATAGTTCACTGAAAACGTACTCATCCTTAGGTCGTCCAAGATGTAGATGAGTTTGTTTCTTCATCAGATTTGGAGAAATGCAGCATTGCATCACTTGCTCAGCAATGGACCCTCTGCAGTGAATGGGTGCCGTCAGAATGAGGCTTACAGAAGTGACAGTTTACAGTTAAAATGTCTTGTCGTGGATTTGTTTCTTAGAAACACACAGCTTTTCACTTCACAAGATGTTAACTGATGGACTGGAGTGGTGTGGATTGCTTGTGGATTATTGTGATGTTTTTTATCAGCTGTTTGGACTCTCATTCTGACGGCACCCATTCACTGCAGAGCATCCATTGGTGAGCAAGTGATGCAATGCTACATTTCCCCAAATCTGATGAAGAAACAAAATCATCTACATCTTGGGTGGCCTGAGGATGAGTACATTTTCAGCAAATTTTCATTTTTGCACGACATATTCCTTCAATATACGAATTGCACCAAAAATTAAAGCAAGAATCAGCCATAAAGTTCAAGATGGATGCAAAATGCACACTGCACTTTGGTGTGAAGTTCAAAGTCCCATTTGTGACGCTACAGTAGAGTCATTAATAAATGATTGATTGCCGATGTTTACAAAGGGCGGTCAATAAAAGTGCATTCGTTATCTTCATTGTAATATTAACAGAGTATGATCAGATTTTCCACAAAGCCAACATTTATGCTTTCTGTAGTTTTAGTGTGGAAACATTATGTACAATATATGGTGAAATCACTGTTTATTTCATAATGAACTTATGAGATACCGACTTGCATGATGTTAAAGAGGGATTCAGAATATGAACGAGCAGAAATGGATGTTATTTACAGTAAAGATGTTAATGATGTATAAAACAAATTGGCTTTGTGCTTTCAGTTGGGTTTCTGTCTTGATGCATTACACCTTTCCATGAGTTTGAGGGTCATTGTCATTGAATATGACAACCTAAGATCCATTCACGGCTCATTAAAAACTGTGAAAAATCATATGAATGCCTTTATATGTGCAGTGAACAAGCAAATCAGCTACAGACACAAACACAGCCAATGTGTTTTAGATTGAGAGAAATGTGACTTCATGCTTCATTATACTGATCGCTTCGATGTGCAATGCAACACTTCCATGCTGTGCCTTCTCTATCTTATGATGATAATGTAGTATATTCTAAATCATATTTGTACATTAAAGTCAATAAATATAAAGATGACTGTGGGTTGAGTATTCATTTTAGACACTGCAGTATCATTTTATTGTGTGTCCATAAAAAAGACAAACATAAACAAAACTTTCTTTAAATGAATCTCACTCTGATTATGTATTTGCACTCAAAGCAATATATCACCAGTAGCAGAATTAATATTCATAATACAACAAGGAATATGACGACATTCAGTCAACACTAACATATTCCATGAACTGCATCCCAGAAACACATTTTTATAGTAATCATGTAGAATTTAGCTTGGGCAAAAACGAAGGATTTCTCCTTATATCGGTTAAATATTGAGTCTTGGGTCGAATAAGAGACTTTAAACCAGGGCTGGGTAACTTCGGTCCTGGAGAGTTTAGCTCCAACCCTAATCAAACACACCTGAACAAGCTAATCAATGTCTTCGAGATCACTAGAAAGCTACAGGTAGGTGAGTTTGATCAGGGTTGGTGCGAAGTTACCCCGCCCTGGTTTAAATAGATGTGGCGCCCTCTGCTGGCGTCATCTGCGTCATGCCAGTTTTGTCAGGCTCCTGTTGTCAATGTAGACACTTCCTGAAGATAAAGTTCATTCAGTTCAGTTGGCGCCGGTCTTCGGAGCCTGTAGTTTTGCAGCTCTGGCTTCTTCATCTATTTCATCCATGACTCTTTCTTGGGATACGGAGTAGAAAGTGTAGCCATCTTTGGAGGCTGGTGAAGGCAAATAGATATCTCAACAGTCTGACGAGAGTTAAAGGGATAGTGCACCCAGAAATTAAAGTTCTATCACACAAAAGACATTTTGAAGAATGTTGCTGGTAGCTATTGACTTCCATAGTATTTTTTTCCCCCATATTATGGAAGTCAATGGCTACCAGCAACTGTTTGGTTACCAACATTCTTCAAATCATCTCTTGTGTTCCCAAAAAAAGAAAAAGAGCAAGCCATACAGGTTTGGAACACCTTGCGGGTGAGTAAATAACACAATTGTAATTGCTGGGTGAACTATTCCTTTAATTCTGGTAATACTTCATTTGTACATCCCCCTCATTAAAAGTTTTTACCTTCTCAAAATGCTTTTTCTGAAATAAGCTTTTTCTAATATTATTTTTAAAAGGAAATAAATGAGCTAAATATGGTTTAGTACGGTGAAATCTGCTCAAAATGCAGCATATTGAAGTAAAACTATTATGAGAACCAAAATAGTATATTTTCATTAAAAAGGTTAAAGGGGTCATATGATGCTTTTTTAAAGATCATTATTTGGTGTAACAGAATATGTTGACATGCTTTAATGTTACAAAAACACATTATTTTTCAAACACTGTACATTATTGTAGGTCCTCTATGCCCCGCCTCTCTCAAACGCTTCGTTTTCTACAAAGCCCCTCCTTCCGACAAGCGCAGTCTGCTCTGATTGGCCAGCTGACCCAGTGCATTGTGATTGGCCGAACACCGCAAGCACTCGTCGGAAATGTAACGCCCCTTACCATAATCGCGAGCTTCATCTTTCAAAATAAATGTAAAGACAGAGCCCGAAAGGGGAACAGAGCCGCGTGACAGACACAGTGATGAATATGTGTTTGCAGTACACAAGCCACGGTTAAGACAGCTGACTCCCCTGTGATGTGATGTGATGTGATGTGATATATATCTCTCTCTCTCTCTCTCTCTCTCTCTCTCTCTCTCTCTCTCTCTCTCTCACACACACACACACAC